CCCTAATAAGGCAGTGCCTTGCACGCTACAAATTTATTTAATGATAATGCTGTGTCGCATTTTCGCCAAATTTTGAAGCGTCAGCGAAAACAAATGTCTCTAGACAGCTTTCTAGTAAAAAAGAATTAGATATGTACCATGAATAATAAACTATTTATTTCGATTTTTTTTTTCTGCAAATCGAATTCACATTCCAGGTTGGTTCATCACACATAGAAGAAAAGATGAAGATGATTCGTGCTCCTTAACAATGTATATATAATTTTCTTTGAATAAACGTTATACATAACATTTTTTTAGTATTTTTTCCGGCATGGAAGGCAATATCGTATTTTACATTAATTTGTATGGGAAAAAATGTTTTGCTTAATGAGTGTTTCGCATTACGAGTAAGATTCTGGAACGAATTATGCTCGTTAAGCGAGGTTCCACTGTATACTGAATATCAGACAGGGCATAGAACCTGCATACATCTTAGGCTGGAAAATGTGAAGGAGAAAAGCTACTTTGAAGATTTAGGTACAGATGGGAAAACAGTCTTAAAATGGATCTTAAAGAAACAGATTGGGAGGGTAAAGACTGGATTTATTTGGCTCAAGGTGGGACCAGTGGTGGGCTCCTGTGAACATGGAGGTTCCATAAAAGATTGAGAACTTGTTGACTGACTGGCTACTTGTAACTCAACGACTCTGGTCCACAGAGTTAATAATGTGAAAGTAGCTAATATGCAGCCAAATATAGTATTTCCATCATCAGGTGTGGTATAAATCATTACCACAGACTAACACATATCACCAAGCAAGATGGCTCAAGGAATGATGCTTCTGACTTGTGTTCAAGAGGCGCCCCATTTGATCTTCATTGGAGAAATTACTATTTTGACTGCCGTTTTTCATGCTTTTCCTCAATCCCTCCATGCAAACTTCTGCCACAAAACTACTTCCTTCCACAAATTTTCCAATTCATTATTAACTAATCATCCTACCACTTGACATTATACAACCTAGCTCTCATAATTGTGTTAAATCTCTCTATGCAATAAAACTGTTATGGTAATACAGCGAGTTCTCAGAGTGCAGCACACGCTGGGTGCTGCTAGTACTAAGTCTGCCAGTAGGTAGTTCTGCCACTAACAGTCTCAGTGTCATTAGTTGCCATAATTTTTATGAAATATGCTTATTTAGAAGTCTCTGTAACCGTTCTTTGGTTCTGCTAGCTCCGGTAGAGAACTTCAACTCATCTCGGGCTGTTTGGCTGGCCATGACTTGGGTGATTAGTGGGGCTTAGGCATAGGAAAGTCACACTCAACACCAATTAGCTGTTTGAGTTCTTTATTCGTATCACACTATTCAAATGGTAAATGCACCGTAGTGATCCACTTAACAGCTTTGTGGATTTAGGCTTCTTTACAGTTCACTAAGACACACCAGTCAATAGGCACCACAGAGTGTATATACAGGGATCAGAACATGTGTACCCTCGGTTAATGTAAAATTCAGAGTTCTCCACCAAGCACGCTCTGAATGTTAAATATTTGCCCTGGTTACCCAAAAATTCGGGCAAAGGACATCCCACTTCAGATTATGATTGGCTGGACTGGGCAGACTGGGAGGTTGCTTAATCTTTCTCCTCCAATTAGAAAAGCAAATATCCACGCGTGTAGAGTTTAGGGGTGAATTTTGCCACCTGCTGCGTGGCTGTCAAACTGGGATTTGGGATAGCATAAAACGACGTTGCTAAAATTATGACTTCTCCTGTCAAAGTTTACAATTTCTAAAGAACTCGGTCTTGTGTTATGCAATAATTTGACTGATTTACTGATGGGAGCTGGCTTCAAGCTTGACCCAAGCCACCTGCCGTGTGTCTCAGGGGGGAAATCAATTGTGAGACGAAATTGAGGAATCTCACAGAACCCTAACCATACACAAAACATCAATTGACCATCCCATAAATTGGACAGTTACATCTCATGAAACCTGTATTTTGTATTTTCTCAATACTGGAAGTTATAACTGCACTGTGAGCATGCAAAGCACACTCACTCATGGAATTGAGCCCTTCTTGAGAAGCTGCCAGTTGTGCAGCTACTCAAGAACTTCCTAGCATTTTATGGAACCCAAAGGTTCATTACCATGTTCACAAGAGCCCTCCACTAGTCCCTATCCTGAGCCAGATCAATCCAATCCATACCATCCTATCTATCTAAGATCCATTTTAATATTGTGTCCATGTCCACTGCTAGGTATCAGATCAATAAATACACCTCCATAACAATAGAGACTGTTTTCTGTATGGTACATGCAAAATGGTTGTAAAGAAGTGTTCAGCAAGCACAGTATTCA